AGGTACATACATGCTGTAAAGCGGGTTTACAATATTATGATAGGCTTGACGTTACATTGATGATGGAACACTGAGGATTTGGTTCTATTCTAGTGGAAAGCATGTGTCAAAAGGTCAAATTTGCCTACACTTTTGATTAAAAATTGACAGTACGCTGGTCTAACGTCATATTATAAATCCGCCTTAGTACAGCCAATAGATCAATCAGACCTAAACTGCACACACAAAAAGTAGTTATAAGTAGCAACATAGCAAAATGTGTTTTGTGGTCTAAAATACTTTGGAACCAGCTCAAAATTAATTTTGGGGATAAAAATTTACTCTTTGTTCAAGTTTACAAATCATGATCAAAAATTACAAAAAGTCACAAAATTTTGGGCCACAATAGTTTCTCATTGCATTGTAAAACATTTAGAAATAAATCGAACAATGCAGGAAATATTATACTATATAGATCTCTCGTAATAGATCCTTTTCATACATTAGCTATTATTCCTCTATGCACTATAGCTCTTGCTCTTCAAGACTGTAAGGATTGGTACAATAATGGTAGCACTACTAGTGGTGTTTATACTGTTAATCCTGATGGAGGGACCCCTTTTAATGTTAGCCTTACTAATAATAATATACTTTATAATTATACACTATTGGATCACAGGTATACTGTGATATGGAGACTGATGGTGGTGGATGGACTGTATTTCAGAGGAGACAAGATGGATCTGTTGATTTCTATAGGAACTGGACTGACTATGAGAATGGATTTGGCTGTCTTACTGGTGAGTTTTGGTTAGGATTGAGCAAGATTCATCGTCTTACTAAAGAAGGATCAAACACACTAAGAGTGGACCTGGGAGACTTTGAGGGGAACAGAGCCTTTGCCAAATACTCTACATTTAATGTTGGTAACAGTAGTACTGAATATATACTAACAGTAGGAGGATACTCTAGTACTGCTGGGGATGCATTGGCCTATCACAGTGGAAAGAAATTTTCAACAAGAGATAATAATAATGATTATTACAGTGATCAAATTAATTGTGCTCAGCCACGTGAAGGTGCTTGGTGGTTTCACAAGTGTAATTATTCTCATCTCAATGGTCCTTATTACACTAATCCAACTGATGCTGGTAACGAAAGTGGAGTTCACTGGTACCACTGGAAGGGAGATTTCTATTCTCTGAAGTTCTCTGAGATGAAAACTCGTCGTAACAATTAAGAATTGTGTGTGTAAAACAATTAATTAGTGTAGTGTTGTTTTAGCTACAAAATGAGACTTTTAGTTCGTAATAGTTAGTTTTTAAAATTTCTAAATATTTTTAGTTAGTTATAGTTAGTTAACTACAAATACATCTGGTCTAACTAAAGGGGTTTTAGTTATAGTTATAGTTAACTAAAACAACACTATCTTAGTCCTTAGTGAATATCCTTATTTTTAGTTTATTACATAAGCTCAATGCTATAAGAATGTGGCAACAATACTTGAAGTTCAAGAATAAGAAACTTGAACAAAAAGAAAGAGAACAGCTCTAGATCAGAGTT